GTGTTTCTTAAATTTGCAACTGTATATCTCCCTATTGTGACTATATATCTCAAAATTGTGACTTTATTTCAAGAAATTAAAACTTTATATCTCCCAGTTGTGACTTTATATCTCACAGCGTGACACATCTTACAATGTGACTTTATATCTGCCAGATGTGTTTATCTTGCAATGCGACTTTATATCTCACAGTGACTTTTTCTTAAAAACCTTGCAATGCAACTTTATTTGCTTGCAATGTGATTGTATATCTCCCAACTGTGACTTTCTCACAATTCGACTTTATCTCACAATGTGACTGTACATTTCCTAAATTTGACAGTTTTTAATCTGTTAAAATGGGAGTTATTTATTTATTATTGTTTTTTACCTCACATTGTGACTTTATATACACATATCACAATGTGTCTATTTTTTATTTTTAAACTTGTATATCACAATTAACTTTTTATTTTTTTACACTAAGGCAAAAACGGGCTTTCATAGTTCATTGGCCATATTAAGCAATGTGATTGGCTGGCTAATGCACAGGTTTTTATCAATTGCCACTATAGGGGCATGTTGTCACAAACGTTGTGTCCAGTGAACGGTGTCTCTTTCTTGGTCAATAATGGAAAACGTTCAGTTTTATATAAGATTTCACGAGTCTACACAAACATTTAATTCAAAAATGCAAAAATGTACAAATAAATTTACACCGAAAAATACCTACGGGAGTAAAAAGTAATTTTCTACCCAGTTTCCCCTACTTCTAAGCAAAATTGTATAAACACGTTCAACACTTACCCATTAGAAAGTCAAAAATAGTCATGTCCATGATGTCCAGAAGTCGTGTGCCTCGGTCATACGGAGGAGTCTGTTTGACTTCATCACAATAATCCGGATCCACTTCCCACCTTACAACAGAGAAAACAGCTAAGAAACTCTCTTCACCTTTAAATTTGAGCTGCATTTTGCCCCTTCTCATATATAACCCTACTAGCGTACAACTGCCATCTCAAACAGGATGGCCCATTGTTTCACTGCACAGATAGGATTTCTCTGAGAGTAAGTGAGAACCACAGTAGTCTTTTTTGCTGATAAAGCCAGACTGTAGTTTAATGAAGATATGGGTGGTGCGTGGAGACCTGAGATAACGCGGAGAGAAAGAGCTTACTCAGCTTTCTTGCGTTTGTGGTAGGAGCGGCGCCAGGGGTTCCTCCAGGTCTTGCGCTTAGCTAGTGCCAAGTCAGGAAGAAATGCAGCCAAGGAGCCCTCGATCTGGTCGGGCTTCCCACATAGGGCATGCTCTGTGGAGCAGTAGTAGGAGCACTCGCCGTAGAAGCAGATGTTGTTGGCTGCAGGAGTGAGGAAGAAAGGGTCTCAGGAAAGAGAAAACTGTTCTTGGGGGTTTTAAAATAGACCACCAGTGAGACAAAGAGAAAGGAAAAGTCCCTCCGGAGCAACATGGGGTTAAGTGTCTTCAAGTACACAATGGTACACAATGGTAATAGCTCATTGATGGCCTATTACAGGGTTTTAACCTACAACCTTTCGGACTCCCCAGACATTTAACCCAAGTTTTATATAATGCGAAGCAGCTGTTTCCACTGATGCATCGATTTGCAATTTATACATAATTATATCTTTTGGTATGCGTCCATCAAGTTTCAAATAAAATAAAAAATGATCAATAATTATTATTATGTGATACATACCATTACCATGTTGTTAAGTATATACTGTAAGCACAAAAGACTCAAAATAGTAAAACTCCCCTCAAATTTTTAAATTATATTTAACTGAACTGTGCTTAGAGATAATTGAATACTATTGAAATAAAAGGGCACTTAAGTGTAATTAAATGAGATACACTTTCATAACTATGTTTCTTAACATACTTAAAGTATCTTACAAGTTGCATACTCACAATACTTTTAAAAAGTACACTTTGTAATGTCAAATTACAAGTTTTACATTAAAGTACATTTTAAATCATTATGTTTAATAATCTCTAGACTTATTTTGATGTTGACTGACATACTAAAGCACATGTAAAGTACTTGATTATAAATTATTTAAATACACGACATACAAGGTTCAATACAAATGACATTAAAGTATATTTTAGTTTATGATAAGTGCTTGTCAGTACATTCAGGAGTACACTTTAACCATATTTCAAAGCACAATTGAAGTAATTATGAAGAAGTCCTACTTAAGTGGGTTAAAAGCACTCTAAAGTTCAGTTTTGCATTTAACATAAATTGAAACTATAATAAATATTCAGTTAATTGTAAATAACATGCAATTAAATGTCCGAAAGCAGCCTTTTTCAGTAATAGTCACACAAATGTATCTTTGTGGCAGGAAAAACAGTTAACACATATACCGTTATACCGACAAGCCCTGGCCGTAAACACATTTTAAAGCAACAACATGCTAACTATTACAATCTTTTGTGCAGCAGCCTTGTTTATAGAGTTAATACAGATTGTAGAATATGCTTTTGAAATAGGTGACTTCTCCAGATGTGTCTTGATGTGATGAAGCCCTGTTGAAAAAAAACAGCATATGCTGGTTAGGTATGTTTTG